TCTCTGGTTAGATTTAAGTGTTTCATCTTTTGGGTGGCTACTGCATGTAGTATTATTTTGCTGAGTCCCTTTTCAGAGGAAATTCTCTTTATTAGTATAAAGGAATCCAACTGATTTTGGTATGTTCATCTCATCCCCTGCAACTTTGCTGAATCTTTCAATGAGTTCCAATAATTTTCTTCCTGAGTCATTGGGGTTTTCTAAGTATAGGTTAATATCATTTGCAAATAGAGTTTTACTTCTTCTTTGTCTGTTTGGATTCCTTTAATTTCCCTTTCTTGTTTTATAGCTCTCATTAAGACTTCAGCATACTATTGAATGGCAGTATTTTAAGTCCTCGTCTCTTTCAGCAAGCAAGGTTGAATCATCTGTTAATGAGTTCTTCATATAATCTAGCTTTTTGGATTATTTGCTCAGCATAGAGATTGCACAACAATGGTGAAAGAATACAACCCTGGTGCACACCTTTCCTAATTTAAAATCATTCAGTGTCCCCTTGTTCTGTTTGAACGACTGCCTCTTGGACTACGTACAGGTTCCTCATGAGCACGATTAAGTACTCCGGAAAACTCATTCTCCACAATGTTGTCCATAACTTGTCATGATCCACACAATCAAAACCCTTTGTGCAGTCAATAAAGCACAGGTCAATATTTTTCTGGCATTCTCTGCTTTCAGCCAAGACCCATCTGATGTCAGCAATAATCCTCCTCATTCTATGTCCTCGTCTGAATCTGGCTTGAACCTCTGACAGTTCCCTGCCAATGTAATGTTACAGTTGGTTTTGAATTATCTTCAGCAAAATTTTACTTACATGTGATAGTAATGATATTATCTGATGATTTCCATATTCCGTTGGGTCACATCTCTCTCTTTTTTCCCCCCATTTTATAGAGACCCCTTTATTAAGTCTTAAACAGGACAAAGACAAAAACTGATCATCTGGATGAGAGAGTACTTTTTTTTCTCTTTTTTTCCAGAACATTTATATTTTAGTGTCAGGAAGAAGATAATAAGCACATAAAAATTAAATATTTTAATTTCATATGCTGATAAATTTGGACAATCTGTCCAGATTTCTCAAGCGAGGGTGCTGATTTAGCTAAGATATTCAGGAAAAGTGTCTATGAGAGGTCACATCTCCTTAGAATGGGCACAAATATGGATTTCTTCAAATCAGTTGGCCAGATAACTGTCTTCCAATTTCTTGGCATAGATGAGTAAATGCCTCCAGTGATACATCAGTTGTTGAAAGATCTCAATTTGTATTCTATCAATACCCTGAGCCTTATTCTTTGCCAATGACTTCAGCGCACCTTGGACTTCTTTCCTCAGTACCATAGGCTCTTGAACATATGCTACCTCTTGAAATGGTTGAACATCAACCATTTCTTTCTGGTACAATGACTCTGTGTATTCCTTCCATCTTCTTTTGATGCATTCAATATTTTACCCACAAAATCCTTCAGTGTTTCAAGTCAAAGCAGCAGTTAAGAAATCAAACAATGTACTGTATTAGGCAAATCTGCTGCACAAGACCTCTTTAAAATGTTCCGTTGCAAAGATGTCAGTTTGAGGATTAAGGTGAACCTGATTCAAGCCATACTATTTTCAGTAACCTCATATGCGTGTGAAAGTTGGGACAATGAATAAAGAAGACTGTAGAAGAATTGGTGCACTTGAGCTATGGTGTTGGAGAAAAATATTAAAGATACCATGGACCACAATAACAAATCTGTGTTGGAAGAAGTACAGCCAGGCTACTCCTTAGAAGCCAGGATGGCGAGACATTGTCTCTCATACTTTGGATGTACTGTCAGGAGGAACCCATCTCTGGAGAAGGAGATCATGCCTGTTAAAGTGGAGGGTCAGTGAAAAAGAGGAAGACCCCCAACAAGACGGATTGACACAGTGGCAGCAGCAATGGGCTCAAATGTAACAACAATTGTGAGGTTGTTGAAGGAATGGGTAGTTTCACTCTGTTTTGTACAGGGTTGCTATGAGTCGCTACTGGTATTGGCTCTTGCTGAGTGGCTGGAGCTGCAGAGGGTAAGGTTGTGTCTGGGCTGTGTGGGCATGGTTTCTGTCTCCTTTTGGGTGGGGAAAGAAGAGAAAGTGCGTGCGCGCGCACACACACACACACACACACACAGGAAAATAAACCAAAGCAAAGAAGTAAACAGTAGTGAAAAAAAGAAAACAATAAAGGAGAAAAAAAGGAAGAAAAAGGGAGCAACAAGAAAAAAAGCATATGATGGATTGAAAAAAAAAAAAAAAAGGAAAAAAAGGAAGAAAAAGGGAGCAACAAGAAAAAAAGCATATGATGGATTGACCAAGTGGCAGCATCAATGGGCTCAAGCATGGCATCAACAGTGAGGTTGGCCCAGAATCGGGCAGGGTTTCGTTCTGCTGTGCATAATAAGGTCACTATGGGTTGGTACCGACCCAATGGCACCTAACAAGCAGCAGCAGGCAGGAGATGCTGCTGTTTAGGCGGCTACACTAGGCACACGGCTACTTGGAAAGGCTTCTTTCTTAAGTTCTGCAGTTGAGATGGGTCCCCAGCTGTCCCCTGACTTTGTGAGAAATTAGTCCACACAGACACCCTGTCTCAGAGCAGATGCTCGGTACAATCCCATCAAGCCCCCTACTCAAAAGGAAGACACCACTGTGGCGTTCCAGCCCGGGTGGCTGCCAACTGCAAGGTTGGCCATGGGAATCTACCCACTTCTGAAAAGATTACAGCCATGGAAACCATATGGGCTGTTCTGCTGTGTTCTGTAGTGCTGTTGTGAGTCTGGATCCACACACAAGCACCACATCAACACTGTCATGTGGCGTCACGGCAGACAGAAACGCTGTGTGGAGTTGAGAGTGGAGGGCCATGTGGCTGTGTGCGGTCACCTGACGAGGCCCAGATGCTGACGGAGGGGCCACTGGTCTGCACATTTCACCACCCCCCTTGTTCACACCCGTGTACACAGACAGAGGCACACACCCCCGGATTCAGTGTGTTGGTCACATCTTGCGCTGGGTGAATAGCAGATGTGAAACTCAAGGGCAGATGCCAAGACCAACACCGCACGGTGTGCCATCCCAACAGAGGTTTGAAAAGACTCTTAGAAGCAAACAAACCCAAACCCAAAAACCTGAAGGTTAACAGAGTCAAAAACCAAACTGGTGTTGGTGAGTCTTCTAATTCATACTGATCCTACTGGACAGAGTAGAACTGACCATAAGCTTGACCACAGGGTTCCAAAGACCCTAAGCCTTTAGGAAGGCAGCCTGCCTCCTCTTCCGACCAGACGGGTGGCTGCTGCTCAGGAGAAGGACATGGCTGTCTGCTCCCGTGAAGTTTTCCATCCTTGGGAAGTCTACAGGACAGCTCTACTCTGCCCTACAAGTCCGCTGAGCTGGAACCAAGTTGACGGCATTGAGCTTTTCATGCTATGTTATTGTTGTTGTTAAATGCCATTGAGTCAGTTCAGACTCATAGTGACCCTATTAGGTTCCCCAGGAGAGGTTAGTGGGGTTGAACCACCAATCTTGTGGTTAGTAGTCCAGTGTTTATCCTACAGCGCCACAGCAGGACTCCTTTTATAGTGTTGTTAAGTGCCGAAGAGTCGGTTCCAAGCCACAGTGACCCTGTATAGTTTCTGAGAAGCAGCTGGTGAGCTTGAACCGCTGGCCTTGTGGCTCAAGCCGATTTTACAGTCCAGCATATTCATCAACGGCTGAATTTAAAGAGTTTAACTACAGAAAGTACATTTAATGTGTCTGTCACTACCCCTGTAAGTGAAGACAACACACTCCATGGAGAGGAGACGTGGAGATGCTAGGCGACAGGGTGGGCAGCAGGGGCCGTTGGCTCGGGGCTTGTGCCGCGAGGACGCCCATGAACTGGGACAGACGGACAAAGAGCTTTGGGAGGCTTAGCCAGTACGACTCGAAAAGCAGTCCTTTTAAGTTTTTCAAGGGTAAGTTGAAAACAAAATTTAAAGCTATCACGTTTTTATATACTTCAAACGTGTGGGTATTTTGACTTTACACTGCTTTTTTGTTGAGAAGATTCCAAGGTTGAAATGATTCCTTTCTCTAAGTTGATACAGTTCTGAGATCCAGATGCACGTCAGGAGGCCGGAGTCTGTGGGGGCAGATTCACTCCACACCTCGGTCACAGGGGCCCCAGCCAACGCTGAAGATTCCCACGGGCCGGGCATCTCTGAGCGCGCTCTCAGGACGCACAACGCTTACGGACGCGTCACCCAGTTTTACTTTAAATAAAAATCCTTTATTCATTCCTGACCTATTATCAAAATGTACACTGTTAGCCAGGGTGACCTGGTGCTTTGACAGCGCCCGCGAGGGTCTGGGGAACTCCTTCCAACCTCCCCCCGCCCCCTACACACACACACACACACACACACACACACACACACACACACACGACGAGCTTGCACTACACTGGCTGAAAACGGGACAGACAAGACAGTTACGTGGGCCCCAGTTTGTAGGTAGAGGATACACATGTTTCGTTTACACGTAAATGAAGGGAAGCCTCTATATATTCGGGTGGCCTTCCTTGGCCAAGCCGCGCACGCGCGCTCTTCCCAGCTAGTGTGACGTCATAAATGACGAGAGCAGGGGGGCACAGGACACGCACGGGGCAAAGTGCAGCAGCAGATCTTACGAGGGAACAGAAACGGCGCTATCCTCGCGGAACGTCTACACTACGCAATCCGACTTGCGTGGCTTTCCCGTGGCCGGCTCTGGAGCGGTGGTGCCGTGAGAAGGCAGCTCCAGGAGCGAGCATGACAGCGCCTCGCCAGACCTTCAAAAAGCCCACGTCTGCCTGGGCAGCAGACACTAGACCCACACAGAGGCCGGAAGTGCGGGGAGCTGGGGGCGTGCCGCGGGGGTGCAGGTGGTCTAAGTGGTTGTGTTCCTGAGATGGGCGTGGTGACATGGATCCAGGATGACGTCACGGGCCGGCCGCAGGCTCAGTCTTCCCCGTGACGCCATTTCTGGGACTCGTCCTGCCGCACGTCTGGTCTGATCTGGTTCCTCATGCCGCCCAGCACGTTGGAGGTGGCTTCCGTGGCCACGATCAGTGGCCGCACCACGGCAGGGGGAATCTGGCGCAGGACCTCACCCACGGCGCCGGTCACCCCTCGGCTCTCGTGCTCTCGGGCCGCCGTCTCGTAGATGGTGTGCGCTGTGTCTGTGATCCCCTGCGGGTGAGAGGGCAGGTGAGTGGTCCCAACGGCCATTCAACCCGTGCGACTACACAAACCAAACTGCTTCTCAGAGGACTGGAACCTGTGTTATAAAGTTCTCATTCCAAAGGACAGCCAGAGCAGGTGATGGTGATGGGGTGTTCTGTTGTGACCCTGGTGTGTGGAAAATGGAGTTAAGTGACAGTTTCCCAACAAGAAGCTTCTGGAGATAAGTAACGACCCCAGAGCAGCTGGCTGGGCACTAGTCCTCACCACAGCTAAAGCCGAGCCTCCTTCGCCCACTGAAGGACAGCGTCCTTCTGGGCCCACTGGAGCCAACTGTCATATAGGAAGACTCCAGAAAAGTATTCTCATCTGCTTTAGGGTCCTGATAACTTCTGAGAAAAGAGGACTGCATGGTGTTCAGTTAGGATAACGTGTTCCGCATAAAACATGACTGGAGCAGAACACTCTGAGACTGTGAAGAAGGGGCACAAGTATGTAATCATCAGAAACCAAAGTTGTGAAACTACCTGGGGCAATTCTACTTGGTCACCCGTGGTGGTGAGCTGGACTCGGCTCTGTGACCACTGGCTTTGTCTTTTTGATCCACTGATAGGAGTCATTTCTGTGGCTCCAACTAGAGGATCTGGGCAGGTGTGACTGTCATGAGAATGTGACTGGGGGGATCTTTCTAACGAGGTCTCGATCCAAGCTCATACATGACTCGACTTCACACTTCCTTCCAGAGGAAGCTAGAAAGAGCTAGAATTTATGGATGGAGCCATACTGGAGAGCAAATGTGGAAATTCTTAATAAACTTAGGGTTCCAGTACCTACAACACGCCAGTCCTATCCTGAAGAAATTCTGGCAAATAAAAACAGCCGTTTGGACAAACATTTCCTATTGGAGTGTTTCAGGCACCCACCAATAGGAAAACAAATCAATCATGGTGTCTTCACCCTATGAAATACGATTGCTGTGCTTGTTAAGTGCCATCCAGTTAATTCTGACTCATAGCGACCCTGTATAGATTTCCAAGGAGTGGCTGGTGGATTTGAACCACCGACCTTGCAGTTAGCAGTTCAGAGCTTAGCTTATCCTGCAGCACCACACCAGGACTCCGAAAAACATCAATATGATCAGATCTTAAAACACTAAGTTGTAGACTGAAGCACACAGTGATCAATGTAAGCACACACTCGAGTCCATTCTCCTTAGGAACATGATTTCTGTGAACACGTATAGGAGAAACGTGGCACCTTCAGGAGCCTGAAGGGTGAGAACAGGCACAGGATGGGAGATCCACTTGGGAAGCCGTGTGTCTTAAACAAGTTAAGTAACACAGCGGAGAGTCCATGCACACATGCGACGAGGTGGGGGGGGGGTGTCACATGACTGCCCGCCGCCCCACAAGCAGGCCCGTGCATGTGCTCTTGGTGATGGGGGTGTCTCTGGAAGGGTGCAGGGCTGGGTCCACTCACCTCTTTGACCACGCTGTAGGCCTTGGCCACACCCTCCCTCAGGTCGACGGGCTGCTGGGCCAGCCGGCGGTGAGGATACCGCTTGGTCCTCTTGGGCTCGATGGACAGGGCTCCAGGAGACACCATGTCATAGGCTGTCTCGGCTGCAGCCTGGTTGTTAGAAAGGAAGACATGAACCAGACGGGGTCGGGGGCTGTGCACCCACACGGTTGCCCCTGGAGTGAGGAGGAAAGGGGGGCTCACATGGTTTAACACAGACACACTCGGCTTAGTCTGAATTCCCTATATCTGATAACAAGACATTAAAGTGCAAGGCAAGTTCCCATCGGCAGACCCCCATGTCAGTCAAGAGCAGCAAGGTTGAAGGGGCTTAGCCTTAACATGACCACTGCCCATTTCCTAGAATTTCACTGTCATCGTCTCATACAAACATACCGAAGGAAGCTATCCACTGACATACTAGCCACAACTCACAGAGACAGGCAAACAAACCTGCCATTCGGTCCTACTGGGCAGTGAAGCAACAAATCAAGCAGAGTTTCCCCACCCTGTTGTTGAGCCAGTTCTAACTCCCGGTAACTCCGGGTGTGTCCGAGTAGAACTGGGCTCCATGGAGCTGTCAATGGCTGAGTTTTCAGAAATAGATGCCAGGTCTTTTTTCTGAGGCCCTCTGGGTGGACTTAAACCTCCCACCTTTGGATTACAGCTGAGTGCAACCACCATTTGAACCACCAGGGGGCTCCACCAACGTATGAAGTTGTTACCAATAACAATGATTCTTCTCTGTGGAGAAGGGAGTTCTGGAAGGTACCTGTATGGTCTGAACCATCCTGTTCGTCAGCTCTAAGGCAGCCATTGCTGTGGAGGTGCCAAAGGAAGCAGCTCCTCTCTGAAAGCCTCGAACGATGCGCCCATCCTTCCGGTATTGCTCAACGGGCAGCCATACCAGGTCCCTTAGGCCTTGCACTAGAACCACAGCAACAACACAGAGGGCAGTGCACCCGCCCTGCTGCCTGCTCCGGCCCACCTCTAACCCTGCCCATTTCTGCATGTCTGAGTGCATGTAGGTATTCTGGACATAAGGTCTCAAGTGGATGCTCATAGACAATCATCATACAAGAGGGTGAAGATTACTAATCGTGCAAAGTATATAATCTTTTGAATAAAAAACACAAAACTCACCCAACTGTACCAATGAATGCATGGGGCCAACTCCTCCCAGGAGTCCTGGGAGCTGATTCTTCTTAATGTCATTAAGCCATTCACTGATTGCATATGAGAATAATTTGTCCACACCTAGCAAACTGAAGCAAGTGACAGTTAGGACACGCAGAAGAGGAAGGTCTGGGTTTAGGTAAGTGACAATTAGTATACAAAGAAAACAAAGTGCAAGAAAATACACAAGATTATCAGGACAAATGTATAAGAAAATGTTTCAAAACAGCTAACAATTTTTAAAATCAAAGGAAAATGGAAATCAGTCACTGAACCCCCAAATCTGAACAGCTCTTTATATCTATGAGGGAGTTTTCAAAATGTTTGTGGAAATACAAAATGAAAAGTTAATAGAATTTTCCCACAAATATTTTGAAGTTCCCTTGCAACTGTAATGTTAACTCCTAAAAGACATAGGTGACTTAGGGTAATTCCTAAAAGACGTAGGTGACTTAGGGTAATTCCTAAAAGACATAGGTGACTTAGGGTAATTCCTAAAAGACTCAGGTGACATATGTTAACTCCTAAAAGACTCAGGTGACGTATGTTAACTCCTAAAAGACTCAGGTGATGTATGTTGACTCCTAAAAGACTCAGGTGATGTATGTTGACTCCTAAAAGACTCAGGTGACGTATGTTGACTCCTAAAAGACTCAGGTGATGTATGTTGACTCTTAAAAGACGCAGGTGACATATGTTAACTCCTAAAAGACTCAGGTGACATATGTTGACTCCTAAAAGACTCAGGTGACATATGTTAACTCCTAAAAGACTCAGGTGATGTATGTTGACTCCTAAAAGACGCAGGTGA